GGTCTTCCTGCTTCCGGGCTGCTTTGGCAGGCTGGGGGTTTGGAAGATCTCTGGACTGGAAGTGTGGATTCTTGCCTGTGACTTTTTGAATAAACCAGCACGGATATATTTTTTATATACTCAAGTGGTCTGAGTCGTCCCTCTGAGTTCCTGGTTTGAAAGAGCCGGATGAGGCTTTATAATGGTTTTTAGCCTTTAGTTATGAAAAGTAAATAAAGGGAACTAAAGGTATGAGAAGTAACTAAAGCTTGTAAAGTAACTAGAGTCTATAAGAATCAAATCTTACAATTCCCCTTTTGACATGATTTTATCATGTCAATCAAAAAACAGTGGAGAATTGTAAACTGTATTGGAGGACCGACCTGAATGTCAGAGACAAATCAGTCATCCAACCAGAGGGAGCATAAGACCACCTTTTGGAATCTCAGTGTAATGTAAACATGTCTTCACTGCTAGCATACAACACCGTGCTGCCAAAAGCATCTGTCCACCTGCCTTCTCATGCAAAGGAGCATGAGTCAAAGCCAATTCTTGACCCATAGGGTCCAAGTTGGTGCCGGCCCACCCTCTGCAGTTAAAACAGCTTCCACTCCTCTGTGGAGATTGTCCATGGAGTCCAGGAATGGGAGGCTGTTCGAATGTTTTGGTATGTTGAAGCCTCAAGAGTTCTTTTCACTGGATCAAAGAGACCAAGCCCAGTTCCTGAGAAGCAACTTCAACCTCATGAGCTGATGCCCTCCATTGTACTCGGTGGTGCAGGCGTGGATGTGGCAGTTCAACCACCCTTTCAGGGAACTCTCCACGTCCTGGGGTGGGGCCACTTTGCAGGTTACATGAAGCATCCCACTGCGCTGGTGGCATCCCAACTTGGCACCATGTTGGAGTTTGTTGAGATCCCGAGAGCGACCGAACCTTTCATAACTGTCTGTAGAAGCTGGATGCATGCATAGGTGGTTGATTGCATGCACCCGTAGCTATGGAAGAGAGTGGGGCACCTGAGTTCAATAATTTGGAGGGGTGGATGGACACCTTCAGCAGCACAGTGCACATCAGTGGCTACACGCAGGCAGATTGTCATTGCAACTACATCAGGAAGCATTATTCATTTCACCAACAACTGAAAGAAATAAGCAGAATGAATAACAGAAAAATGGGGAAGATACAAATAAAGTCATCCTCATAAAAATGGAAAATTAGAATGTGGAACACCCAATAAAAATGGAAAGGAACAAATAACAGAAAAATGGAAGATTTATCATCAGTAATATTATTATTATTAATAATTTTGTTTCTCAATACAAGAAATGGAAAAGTAATATGCAAAACAAATCAATACAAAAATGGAAAAGAAACAACCAAAAAAAAAAATGGGAAGGAGCAAATAAGGCAAACAAATAAATGAAAAATTAATCACCCCCCCCCC